TGCCTACACGGCCACCTACCTCCCTGGGCTGACACGGCCGTTCTTTCTCACTTCGCAACAGGTAGATCGGAAACTACCCACCAAATGATGCAGCCGAAGAAGTCGTCGTCGATGAGGACTGCACCCGCGGTGGCGCTGCTGGCGTTGGCCCTTCGGGGCGCGGGGGCGCAAGAAGACGGCCGCAGCACCAGGCCTCTGCCTTACAAGAAGTGGCGCACGAACCCGAAGGTATTTAATCATGCATACTACATATATACAATGCGAAAAGATACACAAGGCCTGAGGTTGTCTCGTCCGGTGAGAACCTCTCTCGTGCGGTATACATATACATGCATACAGTAGTTGTTCCGCCTGGGCTCCCGCCGCTCGCGGCGTATTTCACTGTTTTTGGTCGTTTCCTCGACGGTCAGCTCTGAAGTTGATCGTTTGGGGTTTTTGGTCGCCAAGCTTTGTTGGCGCTGTCGTCAAGCTACCTAATCTACTGTTATCATTTGGCGCAGCGGACGGAGTCGCACAGGGCAGGAAGTACTGTAGGTCTGTAGGTAGGTGCATATTGTCGGTTGATGTACATTGTTTCACCTGTGTGTCCCCTGGCGGTGATCTTCCAACGTTTAGGTATTCAACGTTTCATAAATAACGTCAGAACACGAGATTCGTTTGCAGTTCAGTCCCTTTGTTTTTGTACGAGTCTCGCGGATAGCCTACAACATATTGCGAGAATTGCAGTCCATCAAGTTTCGGACCCGTCAACAACATGATAGACGGGAGTAACGCAAGGGCAACGCGAATTCATCCCAACTGACGCACCGGACTTACTTGCCGGGGCGACGATTGACTGACGACTTGCGAAAATCTTGCATCTTGCCGATACAAGAGCAAAGATGTTTCATTTATGAGAAGAATATTTTGTGAACAATCAGAATCTCGGTAGATCTGCAGCACATACATGCCGGCGAGAGGGAGGACAAGAAACAACCAACAGCCGTCGGTCACTCAGACAGAAGGCAGATAGATGCCGAGAGGCCAGTAGGTGGAGAAGGATCGATTTTGTGGGGCCTTGTCTCCGTTTTTTCTTGTTTTGTGGGCCCATGTATACCGTGCTTTTTACTGTACAACACAGCTAGCTACACCCTACACAGTATCCCCATCCTGCCTCTATTCCCAATCTTGCAAAGTGGCGCCTTGGGGTGATGAAGACATGCAGACCGTACCACCTGGTCGATGCCGTTTGACCGCTTGCTAGCCGAGTACTCGTACAACATTGATGTGGTGGCGCCACCGGTAAGCGTGCCCCCTCAAGAGACAAACTCGGTTTCGAGATATTCCGAGGAGTGTACGTTACAATGCGACGGGGATCATCACGTGCGCAATTTTTTCAGTGTTTCTCGATTCCCCGTGTGATGTACACGCGCGTGGCATGTGCATTAGGCGTGCATTCCAAGGAATGTCTCGGCGAAGATCGAAAACAGCAGTGATGATCCTACTACAGTATGCACGGAGGGACCGCCGGTCGGTCTCTTTTTCATTTACTTCTGTTGCGTTGGTGTTTTTTTTGTCGGAGCCTCTTGGTTTTTCTCAAGATGTATTACAATATTGCAACAACACACAAAACATATTCGACAGAGTATTCAATATCCATGTGCTCGTGCGTATGCATGTACTTGTGCCAGGGTCCGTCCATTGATAATCATAAACAACAGTAGCGGCAGGGGGCCGCGGCAGTTTGGGCAAATACTTGTTTTTGTGTGTTGAAGTCGGGGCCCAAGCTTTCGCAAGAACGTGAGACGACCGGGGTTGGGATGATATCGGGTACACAGCTCGTGACCGGTAAGATACATTTGGAAAGTCAAATTCTTAGGACACGCACGAGAAACTCGAGGGACAGTTCCAGACAACCCCCAGAACAGAAGAAACGAGAGATTTCGCGATTCGCCCTGGTCGACTGACTGTGAGACGTTGGTTGTTGTACGAACCGAACCCCGAACAACCTTCCAACCCGCGCCCTCTCTACAGTACTCTAGGGCGAGCGTTGAATCGTTTGTAGGGCGGATGGATATGTTTTTTTCTCCCCTTTGTCCTCTTGACGAGGGAGTGTGGAGAGAGGTCTTGAGGCGGGAACGGGCGGGGGCGCCAACGGCATTGAGGAACTGTGCTGCTTTCCGAGTCGATGGCGGGGGACCCCCCGACGTTCTCGTTTTTTACTAGCATTTGTTTCTGGAGCTGCTCACCGTCGCGGAGAAACAATTTGTCTAATCGATACGTACACACAGGAAAATCCCCTAGTTTCATCCACCGGGAAGACAACCGTAAAAAACAAGTGTAAAATCAAAGGGGTGGGGGGGCGGGGGGTACGCAAGAAACAATACACATCAGGGGCAAAAAACCGCGAGGGATTCTGAAAACATGCGCACATCGCCATATCGGGCCTACGACCCTCTACTTACTAGAGACCATACTACCGGAGGAAGAATGCCATCCCCTCGGGTAAGCTTGTGCCCTTCATCCACTAGGTTCGCGACCACACCTCCGCCGACAGAACGAGAAACAATACGAAAATGTACGGCGAAACGAGATTTTTCCTTCCACCCTCGTGATCGGGTTCCGCCGCCGCCTCTCACTGGTCTCTCGAGCCACCAGAGCTCATGTGAGGTCGACGAAAGAAAGCTGCTGCGGTGCGCGGAGTAGAAAGCCGTCTCATGTGCGGTGACAAGCCACAGCCAACGGGTTGGGAAAAGCTAGACGCCCGCCGGTACGCGGCTGCATACTGCGATCAACCCCCCCCCCTCTTGCTCGAGGCGAGTACTGTTTCGTTGTGGTTTCGCGTGTAAAACGCCCAAGAGCAACAGAGCCAACGCCAACAATAATCTACTACCGCAAGAAGTGCGATATGGCTTTCTCCGTACTGAACCAGTACGTGGTTTAGTGATTACCCCGCAGGCAGTAGAGAAGCGACAAAGTTACGAGTGTGTGTTGCCTTCCGAAGGACAAACGTTCTGGGGTTGTTTCCAACCATCTGCAACCCTCCTTCTTGTGTTCGAGGCTTGCAGCTTTGTGTTCGGGGCTGTTCATTGCTGCGCCATGTACAGCTTGCGAACTAAAATCCACCTGCTGGGAAACAGCAGGGCATGGGCCACTATCATTCTACCTAACAGCAGTTCCAAATTTTGGCAATCAACCCTCCTTTGATCGATTCGACGTTGTTCACAAAGGTGGATTTGAGTCTGTACCAATATCCATTCGCTGCTCCACAAAGTCGCGGAGGGGCGGAGAATAGCGCGAGCCCCCCCGCGCCACGATGTGATAGGAATCTGGAGTTGGCTCCGGGCCCACAACAGCTTCCAATAACGCCCGTAGTACTTGGCGTTCACGGTGGTTGTACCCACCTTGCTATTGCCTGCTTATGTGTCGGGCTATTGTCGACCCTCCGGCAAACTGTCGGCAGACTACTGCCGCCTTTTCGCTTGCAGATAAGCTTGTTCTTGGAGTGCGTCCCGTCTTGTTCATCTTTTTGCTTGTTTCGTCTTTCTCCTTCCAAGTCGAGAACGCATTGCACGCGCAAGTAAGCCCCAACAGCAGCTTGATCCCACCCCCACCAAAATCACCCCCCCCCTCCATCCCGGTTGGGTTTTCGTCGCTTGGCAACGACGTTGTAAAACAAGCCGCCCCCCCCGGTTTTGCCATCGGGATTGGGTTTTCGTCTCTTGGCAAAGACGTTGTAAAACAAGCCAATTCACTTCGTGAACTCGGCAACCAGGTTACCGTTTTTTTTTTTTACCTCCGTTTTTTTTTTTTTGGCGGTAACCATAATGGTGGTCGAGTAGATCATGTTGTGCGGGGTGGAGAACACTCACTCCGCGCAAGGGGGATGATCGCACCACGTTGTGTTAAAATGGTCAAGCACCCTCGAGGCAGTTACACAGTGCTTACAACTGTCTCTGGAAGTGAAAGCACCAGAAAGTA